AACCAATTTGACAATAAATTTCATATATTAAAAAAAAAAAAGAACAAAAATAAATAAATAAGTAAATAAATAAACCTTAAAAAGAATAAAAAATAAAACAGGGTAGTCCTGTATCAGTTCCTGCAATCCGGATTTTGTTGATTGCATTTGGTAGTGTCATTTAAACGTGTTCCTCTGGCCCCTGAGTATTAGATCTGGAGGCTTGATCACGTTAGAATTTAGTGTTTGCTCCTCGTCTTCCATCGGGAGGCAGATAACATCTGGTTCTCTCTCTTCTTTTGTGTGATGTTAGCAGATGTTAATGATTATTACACTAGATCCATCAATTAGGGGGCGCAAAATGCTGATATTCTTTTAAAAAAAAATTTTTTTTTTACTGGTTTTATTTTATTTTTCAGAGAGAGAGAGACAGACAGACTGTAAGTGGGGCAAGGACAGAGAGAGAGAGAGACACAGAATTCGAAGCAGGCTCCAGGCTCTGAGCTGTCAGCACAGAGCCTGACGCGGGGCTCAAACTCACAAACTGTGAGATCATGACCCGAGCCGAAGTTGGCCGCTTAACTGACTGAGCCACCCAGGCGCCCCGCAAAATGCTGAAATTCTAATTTTACTTGTCTTTACTTATTAGCTAGCGTACTTTTATACAACAAAACCTCCCTTTGTTAGCTACTTGGTTGCTTTGAGGTTCACTGCAAATAGGAAAGGCAGGATGACTGTCAGATTCTTTTCTTTCAGTCATTTTCAAACTGGTAAGTTGGTTCCTTAGCATTCTCCAAAGATGAACCAATGAGAATTTTCTTTGTTTAATATCGTTATGAATAAGTGGATTTCAGCATCGCAGTTGGGATTCTTTGGGTTTTTTTCTCCACCCCCTCTCCCTCTTGCTGTTATTTTGATTTGATACTCAAATTCTTCCATCTCTGGCCAGTGGGAGTTTCTATAGGTAGGTTCCTGAGCCTTTCTGTCACAATCCAGGCAGTCTCACGTAGCCGCCTCACTTTCTGGTATGACTGGTTCCAGATCCATCTTTGCACATTTCCTACCCTACAGCTGAAATAGGTCACAAGCCGTGATTCATTTCATTGGAAATTCATTGTTTAGGAACTGGAATCTGGGTGTTGGGAGTGTTCACTGCTTCTAGGTAGCTAATTTTTTCCAAGCTTTTTCACTGGGCAGGACTAAGAAATATGTAGTTTTTTAACGTTATTTATTTTTGAGAGAGAGGGAGGGAGGGAGGGCCAGAGAGAGGGAGACACAGAATCCGAAGCAGGCTCCAGGCTCCGGGCTCTGGACTGTCCCCACAAAGCCTGATGTGAGGCTTGAACCCATGAACCATGAGATCATGACCTGAGCCGAAGTCAGATGCATAACTGACTGAACCACCCAGGCGCCCCTGTATTTTTTGAAGATAGAATCTAGCCGGAGATCATACCAGCAATTCCTATTCATATTCAGGACTACAGGATTTTTACCTAATGTCATTGTTCTTCTATCTGAATTTCCTTATCCCCAGGCCAAAAACCCTGGTTCTCAGTGACATCGGCCTGATTCTGCATTCGCTTTATCCCACACTACATCCATAATAGCCTCAAAATGACAATACTAATGCCAGCTCCAGGGAAACAACTGCTGTCTTCCGGATGTATACTGTCAGAAATGAGCTATCAGATTACTGAGTTTTAAAAGCACGTTTATACCATTTTACCCAACTTATCCCAGGTGCCCTTCTTATGTCTCTTTCACCCTAATATGCTAACAAACCCTCTTTTTCTCTTTGAAGTGTGTTTGTCTCTAGTCTGCTTCGTACTTTTCGTAACGGGAGTTTAAAGGTAACTAGGCATAAGCTAGCATTGGAAGTGCAAAAACAACGTAGATTTGAAAATAAGTGTGTGCCGACATAGATTTCCTTACTCTGTGAGCTGAGAGATCTGTGAGATCTGTGAGCAGCAACGAGCACACCTAGAGCCCAAATCTTGGTTTCTAATGCTGTCAAGGCTCATCGGAGAAATGGCTGATTCGGGGGCTGCACAGAGAGACACAAGCTGAGCCTAGAACATCTTGTAATACCAGAAAGTAAGGAAGCACCCAAGCAAACACACACACACACAAAGTGATGGGGCCATGTCAGAGTGACACAAGAGCCAACTGAAAGAACTCTCAGAGACCAAAGCTGGAAGGGTCTGAGCAACAAAATAAATAACATACTATCGGATTATAACCCAAAGGGTAATACAACTATCTGTGGGTCCACACTGATGTAATAAGGTCATGATTGAATATGTAAATAAACGGGGGAGGGAGAGAAATCTACCGTGTGGGAGGATTCTTAATAATTTATATAGACACATCACCCTCAAAGAAGTGGAACATAATTCCCTACGTCTTAAAAAGTGTGGGGTGTGCATAGACTTCCTTCCAAAGAATACAGGATTGGACGGGACAAGAAGGAGTAGCTTTACAGTGGAGAAAACTGGCAAATGCCACCTCGGCCAGGTAATCAGGATTAACATCAGTGACAAGTCATGTTAATAGCACACATCCTTGTTATAATGTCAGTCCACCATATTTTCCCTACTTTTCTGGTATTACTGTACTGGGTTTTAAATCGATCTTTTATGACAGTTTTTATTTACACATAAAAACCTGTGCTTTGAGCCAATGAAGGAAGTGCGACGCATGGTTCTTCCCTTTGGGAACTTGGAATCTAGCGGGAAAAACAACTAGCAAACATGTAATCCAGAGACAAATCATGGGAGGTGATTATAAGGGTTTTTTAACTTGAGAAAAGCACAGATATACTGAGGGCTGGTGTAGCCAGAGGGAGTTTCCAGGAAAACTTACCCTTCTCTTTATACCATCAGGATTTCTGGATGAAGGGTGCGATAAGGGTTGACTGAGGGTTCGACACATTCTCTTAAGTAAGATTGCATTATCACTGTGGAATTTAAGAACGACAACAGATGAACACAGGGGAAGAGAAGGAAAAATAAGATAGAAACATAGAGGGAGGCAAACCATCAGAGACTCTTAAACACAGAGAACGAACTGAGGGTTGCTGGAGGGGAAGTGGGTGAGAGGATGGGTTAAATGGGTGATGGGCATTAAGGAGGGTGCTTTTGGGGATGAGAACTGGGTGTCCTATATGAGAGATGAATCGCTGGGTTCTACTCCCGAAACCCAGACTACACTGTGTGTTAACTAACTTGAATTTAAATAAAAAAAATTATTACATTTTGTCAACCAGCCTCATGATGGATAATATTATGTTAATGTAACAGAAGATAGATGATAAAACTGGTAGCTCAGTTAATCACATTGTGGCCGGAGTTTATTAGAAAGATAGCAGAATCTGTGGATTATGAAGGGTGTCCTTCCTGCACTCATTTTATGTGTAGATCTGGCTAAATCTTGGATGTTTCATGTTCAGGTCTTAACATGTTCCTTGATTTTTTTTTTTAAATTTTCCTCGTAGGGCTGTCTGCCGCCAAACTCTTAGCTGAACATGAAGTGAATGTTTTGGTCTTAGAAGCGCGGGACAGAGTTGGAGGAAGAACATACACTGTGAGGGTAAGTGATTTTTAATGCTTAACGTATAATTTCTCACTCAAACTAGAAGTGGGAGCGATGGAAGGCACAGAAGCCATGTGTCCTCTAGAGCCTTCAGCTACTCCAACAAGTAAGCATCCGTTGTGGTCAACAAACACTCACTGACCATTTGCAGCTACGTGGCTGGAACCGGAAGGTATTAGGCTAAGCGAAGTTAGTCAGAGAAAGACAAATATCATATGGCCTCACTCATGGGAGGACTTTAAGAGACAAAACAGATAACATAGGGAAGGGGAGCAAAAATAACATAAAAACAGGGAGGGGGACAAAACAGAAGAGACTCATAAATATGGAGAATGAACAGAGGGTTGCTGGAGGGGCTGCGGGACGGGGAAGGGGCATGAAGGAATCTATTCCTGGAGTCATTGTGGCACTGTATGCTAACTAACTTGGATGTTAATTGAAAAAATAAAAATAAAACAAAACAAAACCAAATAAACACTCACTGAAGAGTGAACGCCTCTGACCTTCAGTAGCTTATAGTCTAGTGATGAAAACAAACGTGAACAAATAACTTCAGTACACTGTCATAACTTCCATACCAGAGACCTCAGTAGACTAGGTAGTGTCTCAGATGGGGTTACGGTTTGACTGGACTTGAAATGACTGTATACCCATAACACACGCGCGCGTGCGCGCGCGCACACACACACACACACACACACAGAGTATAGGTTCCATCTTTATTTATTTAAGGATACACAACTTAAAAGAAGTATGGCTACATGGGTGGCTCAGTCGGTTAGGAGTCCAGCTGTTAATGTTGGCTCAGGTCATGATCACGCGGTGTGGGGGTTCGAGCCCCATGTCGGGTTCTGTGCTGACAGCATGGAGCCTGCCTGGGATTCTGTCTCTCCCTCTCTCTCTCTGCCCCTCCCCCTGCTTGTGCAATCTCTGTAATAAGCAAATAAGTAAATAAATAAACTTGAAAGAGAAAAAGTGCGGCTACAGTAAGCAGAAGCAAAATGCTGCATATTTTTGTGCAACTTTGTCCTTGGCCCCTGTTTCCTAAGAGGAGGGCTGTTGGGAGGGACACTCTTTGCTTGGGTAAGGTCAGCTAGACATGAGGACGAAGCTCAGTTCTTGCTACATCACTGCCTTTTTAGACTTGGGCTGATGTCACCATTCTAGAAAAAAAAAAAAAAAACAACGCATCCCAAGTATTGTTTGCCATTATTCAAGGGCACAGTCGTAGGCAGTCAAGTCTGTGGGAGCTGATGGATGCGCACAGGGAGACGACATGGGGTGGGGAGGAGGTAGGGCCACAGGCAGAGGCTTGGGGAGCATGCAGATTTAATGGGTGCAGAGGCAGCGGAGCCAAAGCGAAGCAGCGGTGGCAGAGGCAGATGGGTGGAGGAAAGAGGAAGCCCCTGTGTTTGTCAGTTAGGTCATTAATGAGAGCCTTTCCTCCAGCCCACAAATGGAGTGGTAAAGGCTGGAGATCGACAGGACGAAAGCAGCCGGTTGCAGTGACCGGAAAGAGAGGCAGCATCTATCTAATGAGATGTGTTGGGCTTACAGCAAAATGGCTTCTGCAGCGCTAGTCACAATGGCTTGAGCAATCCAAACATGCAGTTATTTTGCATAAGAAGTGGTCTGGTGGCAGGGAGTCCAGACTGGTGCAGGGCAGGGGGCAGTGGGGGAGCTCAGCTTTGTCATCAAGGCTTTATGCTCTTTCTGTCTTCTGCTCAGCCATTCTTTGCATTTTGTCTTATTGTCTTATTGCCTAATGGGCACCAGATGGCTGCTGTAACTCTGAGCACCAGTCCTCACTGAGGACAGGAAAGAGGATGAAGAGGCAAGCCGAGGTTTTCTTTTTAAATTTGTATTTAAATTCCCGTTACTTAACATACTGTGTAACCTTCGTGTCAGGTGTACAATACAGTGATTCGTCACTTCCATAGGACAACCGGTGCTCATCATGACCAGTGCACTCCCGAATCCCCATCACCTGTTTCATCCATCCCCCTACCCACCTCCCCTCTAGTAACCATCAGTTTGTTCTTTGTAGTTAACGTTTATTTATTTTTGAGAGACAGAGTGGGAGTGGGGGAGGGGCAGAGAGAGAGGGAGACATAGAATCCGAAGCAGGCTCCAAGCTCTGAGCTGTTGGCACAGAGCCCGATGCGGGGCTCGAACTCATGAACTGCGAGATCGTGACCTGAGCTGAAGTCAGACGCTCAACCCACTGAGCCACCCAGGTGCCCCTGTTCTCTGTAGTTAAGAGCCTGTTTTGTGGTGAGGCGGCCCCAGCTTTATCTGCAACAAAGCTTTTCCTTTACCAGAAGACCCCCAGCAGACATTTGCTTTAGTCTATAGCTATGCCCTTAGCTGCTGGGGAGCCCGGGAAAGCAAGCATTTAGCATTTCCAGACTGCATAATACAAGCAGGCATGGAAAAGGCAATATGAGTGGATGTGGAATAGCTAACCAACATGTGAACTAGAATATTGTAGACTATGTTTTTCCGTTAGACCAGGCTATGCTCCCCCTGTCATTTGCTGCCTACGTTTTTAAAATTATTTATTTATTATTCATTTTTGAGAAAGACGGAGAGAGTGCGAGCAGGGGAGGGGCAGAGAGAGAGAGAGAGAGAGGGAGAATCTCAAGCAGGCTCTGTGCTGTCAGGGTAGAGCCCGACATAGGGCTCGAACTCACAAAAACATAAGATCATGACCTGGGATGAAATTGAGAGTCTGATACTTAACCGACTGAGCCACCCATGCGCCCCTGCTTCCTACCTTTTTATGATTTTCTATTTTTTATTTTTTTAACATTTGTTCCTTTTTGAGAGGCAGAGAGACACAGAGCATGAGCAGGGGAGGGTCAGAGAGAGAGAGGGAGACAGAATCCGAAGCAGGCTCCAGGCTCCGAGCTGTCAGCACAGAGCCCGACGTGGGGCTCGAACTCACAGACCTCAAGATCATAACCTGTGTCGAAGGCGGACACTTAACCGACTGAGCCATCCAGGTGGCCCCCTACCTTTTGAGATGCACGCAGGGATGAAAAAAAAAGATACACACAGGGATATACCATGGGTCTGTTTTCACTTTATTCAGTTCTGAGTGCTCTACAGCCTTACTACTCAGTGTGATCCATGGACCAGTAGCCTCAGAGTCACCTCCCCGCCAGGAGCTTTGATAGAGATGCAGAATCATAGGCCCCTGGTCCTAGACCCACTGAATCCAAATCTGCATTTCGACGAGCTCCCCAGGGGATGTTACTGCAGTGCTGCTCTGTGGGGTGTGTTTGCTTGCTTGCTTTAAATGAATCCCGATTAATCGTATCTGGAGAATTCCTGAGCGCTTCCCGGGGCACCGGGAAGCTATTGGTCTGGAATTGAGGAGACTGAGATTCTGGCCCCTGTACCGCCTGACATCCCTTCTTAACCTGGGCCAAGTCCTGCTGGCACCTCACATCTCTGTCTTCCCACCCGGGCCGTGAGATACAATCTAAATGTACTTCAAGCTCCCTGGCAACTTCAAGTTCTAATTGAAGACAGTGTGTTGTAGTGCAAAAGAAGGATTGCATATTCTGCGTGTCTGACCTTATTAGATACAAGTCCCCTGTCATTTTCAGAAAATTATGCCTTCAGTTTGGCGATAGTTATTCAGCTATTCCTTAGCCCTCCTTTCTTATCTCTAAAACCTTTTGGTTATTAAATAGGAGCATCAGTCATGTTGCAGATTTTCAGGTAAGAACAAGTTTCTTGATCTAAAGGAAATGAGAATTCCAACATGCCTGTCCCCATCTGTGTTATTGCCCCAGGCTGATTTTTCAGGCGGTATCATTTATATACGTCAGCACCATACAGGAAGTATTGTGTGTGAAGCATGATAATTGTAACTCTTTAGGTATATGAGGAAAGAACTTTGAAATGTGCTTCGAAATGCTTACAAAGTAGGAATTAACATTTGTGAGATTTCAAGTGAATAGAAGGAGAATAAAGGGCTTTGAGAAAAAGGAACAGAAATGGTATTTAATACGAAACTGAACTGGATATTGTTAGAATTCCTACTGAGAGCAATTTTTAAAATATTTATTATTTATTTTTGTTAAGTTTTTAATTTTTATTTTATTCATTTATTTTGAGAGAGAGAGAGAGAGAGAGAGAGAGAGAGAGGCAGAGAGGGAAAGAGAGAATCCCAACCAGGTACCTCGCTGTCAGTGCAGAGCCCAGTGTGGGGTTCGATCTCATGAACCATGAGATCATGACCTGAGCCGAAATCTAGGAGTCGGGCGCTTAACCGACTGAGCTACCCAGGCACCCCAATTCTTTTCTTTTCTTTTTTTTTTTAGTTTATTTATTTTTGAGAGAGACAGAGAGAGAGAGAGAGACAGAGAGAGAGAGCGAGTGAGCACGCATGCACGAGCAAGTGGGGGAGCGACAGAGAGAGAGAGAGAATCCCAAACAGGCTCCACTCTCAGCACGGAGCCCAACACAGGGCTTGAACTCACGAACTCTGAGATCATTACCCAGGCTCCCCTGTAAGAGCAATTCTGAGTCAATTAGGATAATTTGGGGTGGAGACGCCCTAACAGTTACTCTGGATCTTTAAGTACCGAAATACTACGTTTGGTGTTGTCGCTTGGTCACTGTTCAGATAGATCTCCTGTCAGTTTAGAACTTCCCAGTTTTTCCTTCGTGTGGTTCCTCTGTAATTCTTCAGGACCAAATTAATTAATTTGTGTTGTTGCCTTAATATCATCAGGGAAAGTACCATCAGGGAAGGTACCACCAGGACTCCACTAAATAGAAACAATGGACGGGGTGCCTGGGTGGCTCAGTCAGTTAAGTATCTGACTCTTGATTTCGGCTCAGGTCATGATCTCATGGTTTGTGAGTTCGAGCCCCATGTTGGGCTCTGCGCTAACAGCATGCAGCCTGCTTGGGATTCTTTGTCTCTGTCTCTCTCTGACTCTCCCCTGCTTGCTCTCTCTCTCTCTCTCAAAGTACATAAGAATAAACTTTCAAAGTAAAAGAATCTTTCACCTTTGTAAAGAAACATCCTGTAAAAGAAAACAAATGAATGCATGGGTGACCAACAAAACCAGAAGCACACTATGTACAGAGAACAAACTGGTGGTTGCCAGAAAGGAGGTGGCTGGGGGTGGACAGAATAGGTAAAGGAGATTAAGAGGTACAAACTTCCAGTTATAAAATAAGTAAGTCACAGACGTGAGAAAAGTACAGGATAGGGAGTATAGTCGATAGTGTTGTAACAATTTGTATGATAAAAAAAGGAAATGTTCTGCAATATGCCTCATAATCCTGCACTTAGGATTATTGGCTTTAGTGTCTGTCATCTAAAGACATCATGTTTGGAAATTCCCACGACTCCTTCTTGCTTGGTTAAAGCAAGTACTTTAACCAGTTTTGTTTTATATTTATTTTATTTTTAAAAGTTATTTATTTATTTATTTATTTATTTATTTATTTAGAGACAGAGACAGCACGAGCGGGAGAGGGGCAGAGAGCGAGGGAGACACAGAATCTGAAGCAGGCCCTGCGCTCAGTGCAAAGTCCAGCTCGGGGTTCGAACTCATGAACCGTGAGATTGTGACCTGAGCCAAAACTGAGACAGTCGGACATTTAACTGACTGAGCCTCCCAGGTGCCGCAGGGTTAGTTTAAAGAAGTCAGAGGCACACTTCATTTCTGGTCTTGTGGCAGGATGGAAGCCCTGGTTACCTCTCCCCATTGGAATCAGTAAAGTGTTGTATAAAATACACTCTGCTGCCTTGACACGGAAATCGGAAATTTGCGGGCCTCCTGAATGCTGAACAGACAGCTCACGTTTCACACACCCAATCTGAACTTCTGACTTTCTCCATCAAGACCACCGTTCCAGCAGCCTTGATGGAAAGGATGACAGTTCCGAAAAATTCAGAGTCACACCCAATATGCTCATGCCTCACATTCATTCTGTTGGCTCTGCCTTCGAAATACATCCAGAATCCAACACTTCGCACCGCTGCCATGGCAACTCCTGGGGGCAGTCACCGCCATCTCTAAGCCAGATGCCTCAGTGGCTTCCTAACTGATTTCCCTGCTCTCACCCTGGCCTCCTATAATCTAGTCTTAGTGCTGCAGCTAGAATGAGCCTCTCAAACCTAAGACAGATCTTGGCGTGTCTCTGCCAAAAAGCTTCCAGAAGCTCTCCTCATTCAGAGGTCAAGCCACGGTCCTTACAATGGCCTTTGGGGCTTCCCATGACCTGCCCCCCAATAACGTCTCTAGCCTTATCTCTAATTCTCTTTTCCTTGCTCACTCTGTTCTAGCCATACTGGCTTCCTATTTCTTGTTTTTTTTTAAATGCTTACTTATTTTGAGAAAGAGAGAGTGCACACAAGTGGAGGGAGGGGCAGAAAGAGAGGGAGAGAGAATCCCAAACAGGCTGCACATTCGGTGTGGAACCCGATGTGGGGCTCGAACTCATGAACCGTGAGATCATGACTTCAGCAAAAATCAAGAGTCAAGTTGCTTAACCAACTGAGGCACCCAGGAACCCCTGGTCTCCTGTTTCTTGAACACACCAGGCACCCTTCTGCCTTAGTCTTTGCTGTTCTTTCTGCCAGGAATGCCCTTGTCCTGGCATATGGATAACTCCTTCATCTACTTACAGTCTTTATGCAAATGTTACCTCTTCAAGGCGGCCTACATATCCAGTGCATTGTGAATTGCAATCTTTCCTTTTCTTCTCTGCGGTTTCAGTCTCCTGTGTTCTACTTTAGCTTTTTGATTTTCGTTGCTCTTATCAACTTCTGAGAGACTTCCTTGTTATGTTCTGGGTTTATTTTCTGTCTCTTCCCATCGAATGTAAGTTCCTTGAGAGCAGGGATCTTTGTTTGGTTTACTGATGTAACAGAAGCTCCTTGAACAGTACCTGGCACCTTGTAGAAGAGCAAGGTACTTGCTTGTTGAATAAACAAGCGAATCCCCAGAGCAAAGTAAAAACATGAAGCCTAGGAAGTAAATGAGCTCAAAACTTGACTTTCACCTACTGAGCCCTAAAGACTTTGCAAATTACAGGGTGATGGCCATATGGCACGCAGGGAACAGTAGATGAAACTCCGAACCTGCTGAAGATAGGGAATTTTTTTTTTTTTCAACGTTTATTTATTTTTGGGACAGAGAGAGACAGAGCATGAATGGGGGAGGGGCAGAGAGAGAGGGAGACAGAGAATCAGAAGCAGGCTCCAGGCTCTGAGCCATCAGCCCAGAGCCCGACGCGGGGCTCGAACTCACGGACCGCGAGATCGTGACCTGGCTGAAGTCGGACGCTTAACCGACTGCGCCACCCAGGCGCCCCATGATAGGGAATTTTAATAGGAAACGCTCCAATTGGAATGCTTCATACGTGAAAGTGTGATAAAGCTTACCATTCAGAAAGGGAGAAAACTAAACCTTGCCCTCGTTCATGGTTTCCACCCAAATTTACACTACCTTTATGGTATGCTAAACGTCAGGCAGACTATGTAAAGTGCCACACTGGCTGGCAGAAATAGACTCCAAAGAAAAGAAGTAACTCATAGCTAAAAATGAGAAATCATACAAGGAAAACAAGGTACCAAAAAAGGATAAGCGTAAAACAATGATCCAGAAAGTATTTTAACATAAGCTCAAGAGCCCATCAATGTGTTCTGATTTAAAACTTCATCTGTTGGAAATCAGAGAATTGGGCCTAATAAATCTCAAGGTGGTTCCTCCAGCAACAACCCCAAAGAAAAGCCTGCATAAAAACCTAAATGCTTGGAAAAGGATCTAGATCGGCAGGATGTACTATAGCATTCTTTTTTTTTTTTTTTTTTAAATTTTTTTTTTCAACGTTTATTTATTTTTGGGACAGAGACAGACAGAGCATGAACGGGGGAGGGGCAGAGAGAGAGGGAGACACAGAATCGGAAACAGGCTCCAGGCTCTGAGCCATCAGCCCAGAGCCCGACGCGGGGCTCGAACTCACGGACCGCGAGATCGTGACCTGGTTGAAGTCGGACGCTTAACCGACTGCGCCACCCAGGCGCCCCAGCATTCTTTATCTACTATACATGTTATTGTTGAATCAACCTCACCAGTAGCTATACAAATGGGATTGTTTCCTGATGAGTGTCCTACAGGGTTGCGCCAAGTTCTTGGGTGACAGAGAAAAAATTGGTATTTTCAGCTGCACTTTATAAGAGAGAAATAAGGCACATTTAAGGTGTAACAAATGAATTTTTTTGTTTTTAATTAAGATATAGAAACTTGTTGGGGCGCCTGGGTGGCTCAGTTGGTTAAGTATCCGACTTTGGCTCAGGTCATGATCTCACGGTCCATGGGTTTGAGCCCCGCGTCGGGCTCTGTGCTGACAGCTCAGAGCCTGGAGCCTGCTTCGGATTCTGGGTCTCCCTCTCTCTCTGACCCTCCCCCATTCATGCTCTGTCTCTCTCTGTGTCAAAAATAAATAAACATTAAAAAAAAATTTAAGATATAGAAACTTGTTTTCCCCAAGTGTTAACTAAAGTCTTCTGACCCCTTTTTCTCTTTGTACAGAATGAACACGTCAATTACGTAGATGTTGGCGGGGCATATGTGGGACCAACCCAGAATAGAATCTTACGGTTATCTAAGGAGCTGGGTCTAGAAACTTACAAAGTGAACGTATGTGAGCGGCTTGTTCAATATGTAAAGGTAAGCCTGACATTTTACTCAAGTGACCAGTGGGGGAGCACTGTATTTGGGAAAATATTCGGTTTTCTTCCTAGTTTTTTCTCAAAGCAATTGTAAAAATAGGCTCTCAGCCTTATAGTAGTCTTCTGCGTTTTCTTTTTCTTTTTAAAGAAATCCTTGGGGACCCTGGGAATCCCTGTAAGGGGTCATGCCTCAGTTTGCCCCCTCTGCACATCACACACTGTGGCCCTTAAAGGCTGCACCCTTACCCCCAGTCCAACTGGAGTAAGGGTATGAGGCTTTCAGCTTCTTTGCTTCTTCAGTGTCTATGGGGAGCAAGGGGGCGGGGACAGAAGCTACCTGTGGTAGACACATGGATGTGCCTACGGATGTGTGCGCGCTCGCGCGCGCGCACACACACACACACACACACACACACACACACACACAGAGCCACAGGCAGCCCTTGAGGCACCTATGAGGCAATTTTAAGGCCCCAAGGAACACAGTAGTCCGAGGCCAGTTCTTAAGACTGAGCGGGTTATTCATTGTCATCGTTACCTGGCGTTTCTTTGCACGCTTTGATAATTTCCTCCGTACTGAGCCTTGACTCTTGGGAAGTCTAGCTGGGCTGTGCGGTTTCCCACTGTTTAAACAAGATTGTTTCACTCTGCTGATATCCAGCTGTTGCCAGAGTTATTCTTTGTCACTGAAGCCAAACATGGAGCAGCTGGAGTGTTGGAAATGTGCCTTGAGAGGTCAGGCTGTCCGATCTGCCTTCGCAGCCGGCTTCCCAGAACTAGCGTCTCGAGGGCAGGGGTCATGCACTCGTTCTAATGGCAGGATTCCCACACTGGTGATCACGTCACTCTCTGAGCGGCTCTACCCCACTCAGTCACATGGGTCTGGAGCCTTCGGGGGGTTTTCAGAGCTTGGAGTCAAGGGTACTTGTGATATGTGCACACTGATGCACCATCAGGGGATCTTAAGACATTCTGATATGGTTTGGGATGGTTTGGGTTGTTTGGGGGAAGGGTCTGGCAGTTGCACATGTGAAAAAACAAAAAAAAAACCAGCAGCCTTGAAGAAACTGGGTTCAGAAGTCAAGGGGGGAATGAAGAAAGTATAAAAAACTATACAACGCTAGCTTCGGTAGGCTTCCTGATCACTTTCTCTGTCTACACGGCAGGGTGCTTCCCTGGATTAGCAAATAATGACAACGGTGAGAATGATAGTAACTTTTATTGAGCACTTTTACATGTGTTAGCATATTTAATGTAGGGAGAGAGACCAAATCCTTTGCATGGAGTACTAAAGAAACAGTCCCATAAATTCACTCTTCAGTCCAAGTAGGAAGCAAGTGAGTCTGATGATTGTCCTGGAATCTGAGCAGACTCATGCTTATGATCTCTTCCTCTCTCACATTCAGGTGCTGAGAGATTTTTTATTTTCCCTGAAGTCTCACAGTAAACAACTAAGTGATTTTTTTATGCATGATCTCCGTAAATCATTACATACACCTCGTTAGGCAGGCACGATTATCTCTGTTTTACAGAGGGGAAAACTGAGGTTCAGAGAGATAAAGCAGCTCGACAAGACTATGAAACGAGTAATGGTCTGTTTAACCCCCCGAGCTCATACCATTCATGCATTTTAGGACTCGCTTCCAAAGAAGCACACATTTAAGGTGCTGAGCACCATTCTTTTCTTTTAAGACACAATCCCATCTAAAGAAAAGATGGAGCACGGAAATACCATTAAACCATCCTCTCACATACTTTAATCTGCCAAAGCACACATATTTTCACCCAAGGTAGACCGCAGTGTTCAGCTAAAGATAATAGTGGGTCAGTTAGAGGTTAATTTATTTGAGCTGAAGGAGTCCCTGTAAAGTGAGGCGGCCAGATTAGGGAAAGGCAGGAAGACTATATTCCATGGAAGATTGTTAGCAAACCGTATAGCAAAAAATCATTCCACTTATTTAAAAATATCTCAACGCTTACTGCTGTGTCCACTTTGGTGGGGTGGGGGGTGGGGGCGAGGGGAATGGACTTTTCCCCGTCACCGTAGTGCACCAGGTTAATAGTGCAAATTGTCTTTGTGACACTCTGAATTGGCTCTCGAGACAACCCCAGCCTCTGTAATCTACCACAGTGCATTCTTTTCAGTGAATACCACCGAAATGAAGCAGGTGAATCCAGAAGATTGCCAGTGCCTGGTTAAACCAAGCCATATTCCTTATGGTCCAGATTGCTTCAGCTTTTAAATTTTCCCAGCGCGCAGCCTTAAAGACTGCCTTGGTTGTTTCTTCTGACAGCAGACTGTAGTGGATCCAGTTTCAATGTATTCTGGGATGATTTTTTGTTTAAGATTTTTGTTTTTAAGTGATCTCTACACCCAGCGTGGGGCTCGAACTCAAAACCCCGAGATCAAGAGTCTCATACTCTACTGACTGGGCCCCCACCAGGTGCCCCTCTAGAACGATTGTTAGTATTCACCAAAGAATGGTTCTTGACCCTTGCTAGATTGTGTTTACAGGGCAAATTGAGACTCTAAGCCTGAGCCTCTGAGCTGAGCAGTGGAGATAGACGTTTAGTGGTGTTTTGCACCCTGTCCCTTCCTAGGAGACTATGTCTGTCTACTTCATTCATAGAAGGTTCAAATCATTATGCTAAATTCATCAGTTCAATGAACAGTTACTGGATAGTCTCCTCTGTACAAGGTATTGTTCCAGGCTGGAAATACAGTGGTGGACACATGATCAAAGCTCCTGCTTTCATGGAACTTACCATTAGCTCACATTTCTGCCTGTATCCTTCGTGGACCTTGTGAATAGAATACCTGTTCTTTTTTTATTTTATTTTTTATCTTTATTTTTTAATCTTTTTATGTTTGTATATTTATTATTTATTTATTTATTTATTTATGACTTTTTTTTTTTTACATTTTATTTATTTTTGATAGAGACAGAGCACGAGTGGGGGAGGGGAGAGAGAGACGGAGACACAGAATCTGAAGCAGGCTCCAGGCTCTGAGCTATCAGCACAGAGCCCGACGCGGGGCTCGAACCCACAAACTGCGAGATCATGACCTGAGC